TCCCTACTGGCGACACCATTTTCAGGCTGTGAGTCAGAGCTTGTTTCCAACGCTCTGTTATGTAAATTCCAATTTACACCCTATTATTGCAGACACATTGCAGATGCTATTATGGATAATGCTTTCGAATCAAGTAAAAATGTGTCATTTTCATTCTCTATTTGCATACCCTCTGTGATTTCTCTGCTAAGTAAAGACAGCACATCTATCTTACACCGGTCTATGTGATTTTTCACAGGATTTTATAGCTTATATTTCTTTTTCTGACATTTAGGTAGCTTTTCCTCCCAGAATATTTTTAATTTTATTCAGATACAAATTCTGAACACTTATGTCATGTCTGAGCATTACTGAATTTAATATACCTTGACTAGGATTAGCGACTATTTCTCTTGCGTTACTATCTTTCTTTTTCCTGTCTTCTTCTCAACTTAAGGAACATTAGAAAAAATGTGTAGATGAAAGCACAAGCTATGAAATCGCCCTGCTGAAAATTACTGCAGCTGTGCAGGATTTTCTTGATGCAACAAAACTCTTACCCTCTGCGGTAACCAAAGACCCTACAGGAGTTGAAAAGGATATGGGCATCCCACAAAGTGAATTCTTTCTTGATTTCCTCAAACTGCAATTGTCCCCTTATTTGAACATGCTCTTTTTTAACTTGTTCCACAACGTTTGAGTGATATGAAGCATGTGGTTATATTTCCCCAAAGGAAGGAAAAACTTGATGCTGGCTGCAGTGGCTCTTACATCATGTATGTGCACGTGCCTTATGCAGTGGGAAGATGCTCTGATTATCCCGCTATATATTACATATAAACACTGTATATTTATGGATGCTTAAGCAGCACTGAATTTTTGCAGAACCAGCCACATGAGTGGGATAAGGGGGAAGTCCATTACAGCTTCCTACATCTAACAGCAAGCCTTTATTGGGACAACAGCACCACAGGAATTCAGAAGACTTTACAGAGGAGCAGGACACTGTGGCCTCTGCACAAATGCTACCAGGTACCCCAAGACTCTTCTTAAGCAACTACAAAATGGCTAACTGTGACTATTTGGAAGTTATTTTGGCTTACACAAAAAGAAAATTCTTCTTCTTGCAGTTTTCCTCTTTGGTTTCCAAAAAGATATGAAGTTTATCATCCCCTCTCCACTTCTTGGCATGAAAAACCTGACACATGCTATTCGTAAGGACCAGCTAAGCTAACAAAGCACTGAGGAATGAAAAAAACCCACACAGCCCCCCCCCCCCCCCCCAGCCAACAAATTTCGGATAGTCTCCAGAGTCAAGCAACACAACCTATGGGATGATTTTTGCCTTGAAGGGACAGCAAAAGAGCCCTGTCAATAGCAAAGGAGTGCTCATAGTGTTGAATGCCAGGTGCCAACAAAACAGAGTCCTGGTGATGAAGTTCAATATAGAATCACTGAAACATAGAATGTTAGGAGTTGAAAGGGACCTCTGTGGGTCATCTAGTTCAACCCTCCTGCCGAAGCAGGGTCTCCCAGAGCAGGCTGCACAGGACCGCGTCCAGGCGGGTCTTGAATATCTCTAGAGAAGGAGACTCCACAACCTCCCTGGGCAGCCTGTTCCAGGGCTCCATCAGCCTCAGAGCAAAAAAGTTCTTCCTCATGTTCAGACGGAACTTTCCATGATTCAGTTCTGGGCTCCCCAGTTCAAGAAAGATGAAGAGCTACTGGAGAGAGTCCAGCGGAGGGCTACGAGGATGGTGAGGGGACTGGAACATCTCCCCTACGA